TTTTTGGTGGTTGAACCTAGTAAGATTATATGCCTTATATAAAATACTATACCCCCAAAAGGAGGATATAATCTTACTCTATATTGGGTACCATAGTATCCCCAAATAGAATACTACTCAGGTGGGCAGTTACTCTCGAAGGAGGCCTAAATAGACCTAAACCTGAAGTCCTAAACCCTAAATCCCCAAACCCTAATCCTTCCAACCCCTAAACGCACCCAGGCGCCTTCAGCAGACTCCACCTCGCCGTTTTCGCCCACTGCCGCCCTGGCATCCGGGCTGAGAAAATGACGCCTGGGTTGAAGAACTACTGGGTAGGGTTTGGGGTTTAGGATTGCTGTTATACTTAGAGAACTTAATGCAATTAGGGCTTACGTAGAGGTTTAGGGCTTAGGATTTAGGGTTTAGCATGTAGGATTTTAAGTTTAGGATTTTCGGATCAGGGTTCCCTTTTCAAGGCGGTTGGAAGGGGGTATATAACTAGGAATAGATAGATAGGTTTATAGATATACAGATATATATATATATAGGTGCATAGGTGTATATATGGGGATCATACTATGGGGTTCAGGCATAGCGCCACCATAATGGAGGATCACATGAGCTATAGTCGCTACTATAATCTAAGCTCCTAGTATCCCCGTAATATAGCTCACATGGTTAAGGTACATAATTTAACCCTAAACCCGAAACTCGTTACATAATGGAAAAACCAACACCGTGCCATTCATGTCCCAGGCGCTTGTAGGCTTCAGAGTCACCTCGCGCATGCCGTGGTTCAGGGTTTATGGGGTTTATGGTGTAGGCTTGAGGGTTTAGGGTCATAGAGATTTATACAAAATAGCACACCCTCTGCGAAAAGGCGTGCTGAACACAAAGTATTGCCCTTGCACCCTCTGAAGCGCCAAAGAGCATCGCACATCATGACAAGTTCGTATGTAGATTGCGTGTTTGGTCCGCATAGATAAGATTGCCATTGTGACCCTTACTCAGACCTCCTAAAGGATCCCAAAGATAGAAACCTCCCAACAATCCCCCATTTTTGCCAATGTAGTTCTGGGATCATGCGTGGAAGCGGGTCTATCTTTTGGATCCCTAAACCCTAAACTCCAGGAGGATATCTGGGTAGTGCCATTGGAGACCACGCTAGTTCTCATGGTCTTCTCAGGGGACACCTGTAGGGTTCAGGGTTTAGGGTCTCGGGTCTAGGGAATTGTTCAAGGAGCCCCACATACGCACACGACTTTGAAAGCAAATCTGTCAAACTTTTCAGGAACCCTGCCGCGTGCAGTAAACCTTAAACCCCTGGCCCTAAACCCTGAATCCCAGAACCTAGACTCCAAACCCAAAACCCCTACATCCCAAAACCCTAAACTTCAGCTGTGGCACCCAACCAGGCCACTAAGAGACGTCGAACTACAGCGGCCTTGCATAGACGTTGAGGCAGTTGGGGCAAGGGTACAAGCGTTTGGTGAAGGGTCTGGGCTCCGTGCTAGACCGTTCTTAGAAAGAGATGTTTCAAGGCCCAAGAATGTCCGTGGAAGACAAGGGCTTCTGGGATGATGGTAAACCAACAGTCATCCACCTAGGCGAGTATTCGCAATGCGCCTGGGTGCCACCGCCAGTACCTCCGCTCTCCAGCCATCGCATGGCTTGATAGTCCTGGTGGTCATTGAGAGCAAATCTTGCGTCAAGGATTTTACAAGGAATGTCGATTCTACAGTGATTCTACAGCGAAAAATGCTCAGCTACGCCTACGACCAAGCGCATCATCAACGACCGGAGACAACGAAGACGACACGACGACGACGACGACGACGACGACGACGACGACGACGACGACGACGACGACCACAACAGCAGCAGCAGCAGCAGCAGCAGCAGCAGCAGCAGCCGCAGCAGCCACAACCACAACAACCACAACAGCCACAACAACCACAACAACCACAACAGCCACAACAACCACAACAACCACAACAACCACAACAACCACAACAACCACAACCACAACCACACCCACACCCACACCCACACCCTCAACAACAACAGCAGCAGCAGCAGCAGCAGCAGCAGCAGCAGCAACAGCAGCAACAGCAGCAACAGCAGCAACAGCAGCAACAGCAGCAACAGCAGCAACAGCAGCAACAGCAACAATAACAACAACAACGACGACGACAATAAACAACACCCAAAACCACAACCACAACAAAAACCACAACCCAACCACAACAACCACAGCCACAGCAACCACAACCACAACCACCACAACCACAACCAAAACCGCTGCTTCTACTACCACTGGCACCGCCTGCTGCTGGCCCGATCTCGCGGGCAGTCCTTGTTGTTCACGATGGCCACGCACTTTCCTGGTGCACCATCTCGGGAGCATCGCCCGGTCTCTTGGATGTAATTCCTCAGTTTGGGGGCAAAGAAGCGGGGACTCGGATGTGGTGCACGTGGTGATGAGGCTGCTCGGTAGTATGCCAAGACTCTCTATGCTTTTGGGCAGCGCAAAGTGAACGACCATGCGGATATCCGGCTTGTCTAGGCCCATCCCAAAGGCCATGGTGGCAACCACCACTCCTGAGCTGAACGCTTGGTTCCAAGTTAATGGCCTTCACACGTTTAAGTGAGGGCATGAGGCTTAATGGGGCTTAATATGGATTTAGACTTCTTTGCTTGTGGGTTGAGTTTGTCCTCTTTACCTTCAAACTTGTCAGAGGGATCACATGGTCAACCGGAACCTCGGGTCCTTTGGTCTTTAGAACTCATGATGGCTAACCTTCCTTGATAGATGGCAGCTAGCTGCAAAATTCGAGCCTGGGTGCTGCCTGAAGGCCCAAAAAATTGGGTTTAGGGTTTAAGGTTTAGGGTTTAGGGTGGGTAACCCCACTGCTCAAGATTACAGTAGGATAGTATTACGGACATAGTACGACTGAAGCAGGGTTCCAAGTTGAGGGTTGGGACTACCCTAAGAGCTTTCGTCTTCGGTTTCGAACTTGAGGATCGTCATTCAGACACCACGGACACTCTTGCAGCCAGTCATAAAAAGGGCACGCCAAACAGAGAACTCCAAGAATGTGGGAATATAATAGGCGTCATTTTGAGCACAGAGGTGCCCTCTACATACCCACACAAGGAATCTACAACCGTAGAACTGGCCATCTTATCTAGGCCCCTGTAACACCATACTTCCCAAAGCATACGATACTGGCATCCGCCGTAGGACCGAAAGTCCTTAAAATAGGGTTCACTTGGAGGTTCGTAAGACCTAGTAATTACGTATTACTGGACTTATGACCTTACGTATACTTGGGGGTAGCCTACATAACTCCAGTCAGAGGGATTGCAAGGGGAAGGGGTAGAAGTCAAGGCAAAAGTAGTTGCTGATTCCCATGAACCTCCAAGTTGCAACCCTAAACCCTAAACCTTAAACCCTGAACCCTAAACCACCCTAAACCCGTACCGAGCTGGAGTCCGAGAATCGAACTTTTCCTGACATGAAGTTCTCCTGCACCACGCTGCGCACTTCTGGAAGCATGCTGCCGTGGTAGGCATTCACGATGCCCTTCCTCCGAAAGTTTCATGGAGCTTAAGCTTTCAGGCTTAGTGGTGTTGTTGATAGAAACCCAGCAGGTTTTTGGTATACTACGCTCCCATGAATCCCAAAGTATAAAGTACTTAGGGTCATGCAGATTTTCATCCACCTTGGGCTAGGGCTGTGTCCCGTTTTAACTCAGGGCATCAACAGAAACTGAGAATTCCTACAAACCAGCATGTATATCATGCCCAGTAAGCATAGGTCATGTCGATAAGGGTACCTTTGGTCTTGCTGCTTTATTGTAAGAAGGAACTCGAAGCCCCCAAAATGCGGAAGAGTACCACTGAACTTCCTAGATATGATCACAACGCAAGAAATGCTTATGAACCGGGCAACAGCTCCCACGACTTGATTAGTGGGTAAGTCCCCCAAAATTTAAAGACATACACAAGTGCCACCTACCGTAGTAGAGCCAAGAACTATACATGAAAAATGTTGTTGTGGTCTGTCTGAAATACCCCATACCCCCCCTAATTCTACAAGGAATCTAAGACAACAATATGGGTAATCATTCACAATAGGTCCCTATCTACACTCAGTCTCCAATTCATCTTCCATTGTCTTTTCTATTTGGTTCTCCATGATCAATGACGCCTGTATACACCCGTGTGATAACCATAAAGGCTTGTGTCTTTTTAGGCCTTTCAACTTAATCCTGAAACCCTGAAGCATGTGAAAAAATGGCCTTTTTGACCATTCTTTTGGCGTCCAAGTTAGCCTCCACAGGCCCTTGAAATTATTGGCCCTCAACCCTAGACCCTTTTCAGCCTAGCTGCACAAAGGGTCGCAGTTGCTTTGCCAGCTGGTCGGCTGTGGCCCGCTTCCATACGTAGATCACCACTGAATCCGTTGGCTTTACCTGGCATTTTAGGTTTGGGGTTGGTTGGTGTTGCTTTAGGGCTCAGGGCCCAAGCGTCCTTTAGAGGGGATACAGGATCTCTATAGGGCTTACATAGGAATATGTAGACGGACATAGAGTGCTTGAGGGGTGATAGGGTTGAGGACTTATGGTTCAAGAGTTTAGTATTTCAAGGTTTCGAAGTTCGAAGGTTTGAGGACTTTGGGGTTTGGGGTTGAGGATGGGTATGGTCCAAGGATGGGTATGGTCCAAGCCTCATTTCAAGAGGGCATAGGTTTATGTCGGAGTATGGGGGTTATAAAAGCCACGATGTTTCCCATTTGATTGGTGGACATGGGTTCCTTTGAAGGTTTTGTCAAGGACCACACTATCATTAAACTGTCACAGCGACCCCTATGTTCACCCTTGATGGTCCCTTGGTAAGTCTGGTATTGGCAGTAGCTCAAATAGAACTAGAGAACCTTACCCTGGGTATGTATATTAACAACACGGGTGTTATTCACAAAAGTAGGCCAAAAGGCGGTCTAGCATATGTGACCTGGTTGCCAATAGGTTCTTTACCTAGTATGTGGGCTTTTGATGTGCTTGTCGTATGGCAACCATTTCAATTCGGCAATTGCATGGGGTCAGATGGGAGTATCACCAAACAAATGCACCCTGGATGTTTGGGGTTTAGGGTTTAGGATTTAGAGTCCTCACCAGAGACTACACGACTTCAGAAACTCGCATGTTGGCACGGGTACCCCAAAGCCCTAGACCCCTAAACCCCTCAACCCCAAAGTGAGGGACTGATCGACAGGTAGCCTTGCCGCGGGTCCATCACGGAGTTACCTTAAACCCTACAACCTTCCTAAAGTCCAAACCTAAACCCAAAAATGCTAGCGAGTTCTTCAGGGTGTTAGTGGTTTAAGATAAAAATGTGACATATATAGATGCTTTCGAGGCACTTGGATGTTCAAGATAGGTCTAAACCATTTTGACTATACGGTTTAGGGTTTAGGAGGGAATAAATGTTATATAAGGTGCTATTTTCCCTTTGTCGCTACTGACCCCAAGTAAGTAGAACTATAGTTATAAGCCAGCTATCTCTATATTGCGGGCTTTAAGAACTTCGGTGGCTTGCATACTTGGCTTCAAGTAATAAAATAGGTTGTGATTACCCTGAGCCTCCAAGAGCCGGATGGCCCTAAACTCAAATACAGGATTGGGGCGCGTCATACTTGTTTGAAAACATGAGATACCGACTAATCTCACGGTGGAAATTGAGATTAGAGATGTTCAGGCCGGCGTCCTGTACAAGTTTGAAGCCTTTCTTTTGAGGTTAGCCCTTTCCATATGGAGATCTTAGTTACCCGTCCCAGTACGTAGGTTACAAATGAGCTACATATCTAAACTCCTAGTATCCCCCTCAACAGGCCCTGCAATACTCCCCTATAATCCTCTTTAAAACCCGTTTAATTTCAGGAGTTCAGACTGGAGCTGACATGGGACTAGAAGTCCCTAATTGGGGCTTGGCCTGCTTGTAACCTCCTTTCTAAACAGCCTGTCAAAATCCCCTACTAGGTGTGGGGGTCTAGGGGTGTAGGGTAAGGGGGTGTAGGGTAAGAACACAAGTACCCCAGACTATCTCGACTGTAATAAGATTCTACTGTTAGTGGCTGGGGTAACTGAAGCCCGTTTATTCTTACATTTGAGAGATAAGGATAATTCTAAGTCATTTCTCATATTTGTGATGTCTTTTTGAAGTCATTGCTGTGATTTGCCCATGCCTGAGTGGGACCTGCTTCTAGACACATATCTGCACAAACGAACCCAGTCTATCTAAGACCTAAGCGATACAACCTCAACCCTAAGACCACCAAACCTAAACCTTTAGCCCAAAACTCTGACCTCCTAAACCCTAACCCTACAGCCCTGCCTCATTACGCAGGATGTTGATCACTTCTCGGACTTGGAGCTCGGCATCAGGAACAACACGAGCATCCTGAGTCTTTGAGCTTTAGGGTTAAGGGTATAGCGTTTCAGGGTTTAAGGTTTAAGATTTAGATTTAGGGTTAAGGGTTTAGGGTCTAGGGTTCAGGGTTTTAGGGTTTGGGATTTTAGGGTTTAGGCCTGAGCCAATCTGGGCGTTAGGTTGGAAATATGGCCCCTAATATGGGCCCTTAAGCCTCTTAGGGGGGGATGCTAGGTACCCTTAACGGTGCTACATGTATATATATATATATATGGGTAGGCAGATAGATAGGGTATATAGTACATATATAATGATCCCAGGGTTAAGGTCCATACCATGGTTCCAACCTTTGACTGAAGGTTCTGGGGACTCTTTGGGGTTAGGGTTTAGGGCTTATCAGTTTAAGGGTTTAGGGTAAAAGGGTTTAGGGTTTAAGGGTTTAGGGTGTAAGGATTTAAGTGTGACGGCCTAGGGATTTAGGGTTTAAGGTCTTAGGGTTTAAGTGTTACGTGTTAAGGGTTCCGGTCTAGGATTTGGCACTCACAGGGGCACTATGGAAGTTATAGGGGGTCCATGTCCGAAACATATATTTAGCTGCTAAGCAGGCTCTAGCCTAATCCTGCCCTATATATCTTCATATAAGCTATATTCTACATTCCTAGCATCCCCCTTAGTAACCCCTGTAACACTCCCGTATATAACCTTCTATATATATCCCCCTCGAAGGCCAGTTTCCCTATTACAAGCTGTTTCTGGGTGGGAGCAGTAACCAGTCTAAACCCTAAAACCTGGAAAGCATCAACAACTAGTTTGAGGGACTCGCTGAACATGGGTCTTGTCGGGAATTCGATGGAAGCCACAAGCTTACTGGAGGAGTAATACAAAATGCCCTAAACCCTACTTGCTGGAGTAGTAGTACAGGATAATTGGATATATTATCATCCGCATATAATTCCTCAACTTCAGCACTCAGCATCCATGATGAGGTTGCTGCGCTGCACCCGGGGCTGGGCGCTCTCCCGCATTAGCTCCTCTACCTGGGTTTGGGGGCTGGGGCTTCGGGGTTTAGGGTTCAGGGATTAGGGTTTAGGGTTTAGGGTTCAGGTTGGTTGGCTGAGATTTCTGGTTGTTCAGGGTACTTATAACCTGATTGATCATTGTAATTCTAGTCAGTTAATTACACTTGTAAACCAATTTCAACCGCCGTATTAGGGGACTTTGGTGCTTATTGGTGCTTTTTTAAAGACAATTGTAAGTAGGCTTTCTGGATTGGATTTCAAAATTGTAGAGCCTCGGAAAAACCGGCTGAAGGATTTAGTTCCGAGCTTAGGGCTCTGGATTTGGTTTAGGGTTTGGGGTCTAGGTTCAGGGCTTAGTTTTGTCATTTTGGGCTGCCTGATTTCCACGTCTTCGGCATGAATGAAATCCCCTGAGGCTGCAATCAGTGCACAGCCACTGGGTCTCATGTACCCTGGACAGGAACGCTGGATCCTATTTGGGTCAAAACCTGTAATCCTATATTCATATCAGGAAACCCTAAATCCTAAACCTGAACCTGACCGCATGGCATGAAGGAACCCTGAGATTAACGAAGGCAGGGAATACTAGTCCCAACACTTCCCACACCCGAATCAAGTCTAACGAAGGCTCACTGCTCTGCAACTTCCATACGGCAGTCTTTTGTGAGAGTGCATAGAGTAAGAATCACAAGATTGGGGTCTGTAAGGGCAACCCCAGGATTGTAAACACAAAGCTACCCTAAACCGTAAACCATAAAAACCCTAAACCCCTTGCCCTTAAACCCTAAAACCCCTAAACCCTACGCCCGAAACCCTAAATGAGGCCCCCTTAACACCAAACCCTAAAAACCCTAAACCCCTAAACCCTAAATAAAACCTTTTGTCTGTGTCCTGGCCACCGTAAAGGTGTTGTCGCTGCGGACCACGGTGTCCAACTTCAGAATGTCGCATACGGACTGCACGGTGGGCCTGACAGGTACGCCCTATGCTTAGGATTTAGGGCTTCCCTTAGACCCCAAAGACCTTCAGTTTTAGGATTCCATATACAAAATTATACTAAAGGGTCCTAAAACTGAAGGTCTTTTGGGTCTAAGGTAGGGATTAGGATTCATGATTTGTGGTTTAGGGCTTAGGGATTAGGGTTTAGGATTTGGGTAGGTGGCGGTCTGAGGCTCCTAAGCTCTCAACTGCTTAGAGGCTCGGGTTTGGGATCTAGGGACATAGGGCTCCTCTCCCTTCCCAAGAGGTCTATTTGGAGGGTCGGGGAAATTAGCATGTATACTTTTAACTCCTATACGCCATATGATCACAGCTCTCTCCAGAATTATCCATCTTACTAAGCCCCCCGAACCCTAAGCAATAATGCCTCCTAACCTACTTACAAAGTCCCCCAAACCCTAGACAGTAAACCCTAACCTATTTTCTTTACTAAATCCCCCAAACACTGAACCCTAAACCCTAAACCTTAAACCCTAAACCTTAAACCCTGAACCCTCCAGAATCTTCAAGTAGAGGGTCCTGGAGGTGGTGACATTGGGAGCTTCGGGCTAGAATTCGCAAACTTAAGGTTTAGGGTTAAGGGTTTGAGGGTTTAGGGTTATATGGTTTAATGGTTTAGGGTTTGAGGGTTTGGTGTTAAATGGTTTATAGTGGTTTAGGGTTTGAGGGTTCAGGGTTACATAGTTGAATGGTTTAGGGTTTGAGGTTTTGGGGTTGAGTGTTCTGGTGGTTTAAGGTTTAAGCATAATCCACCCCTACAATGTGTACCAATTTGCCGGGCTTACGGCCTGAGTGCATTCTCCGTAGCCCACAAGTTTAAGGCTGAGCTCCCCAAGTATGACATAGAGGCAACCCAAATCTAACATGGTTCTATAGAGTTGCAGTAAACTCCCACTAAACCTACAAACCCTAAACCCCTAAACCCTCAGCCGTGTTTGCATCACGGCCGCTCCTGGTAGCAGTAGCTGTGAGAGCCAAGACTCTCCTGGCTCCCAAGGAACCCACCAGGTATTCCTGGGTTACTAAATTGGCGTTTAGGGTTTAGGCTTTGGGGTTGAGGGAGTTGGGGTTTAAGGATTTAGGGTTTAGGGATTTTCAAGATTTAGGGTTCAACGTTTAGGGGTTTAGGGCTTAGGGTTTTTTAGGGCTCAGGGTTTAGGGATTTAGGTTTTAGCGGTTATAGTTCCAAGGAACTTAAAACAAACAAACTTAGGGTTTGGGCGTTAAGTTGGCAGTGCGCTTCTCTTCAGAGGAGCATTGGGGTTCTATAGAGGCCATGTAGGTTGTAGACTTACCTTATCATAAATCGGACATATGGCAAATAACAAACTTTGCCTGGGCCCTATAAACCAGAATCTCCAAATCCTTAGAGCCTAAGCCCCAAACATCTGAAAGCCCTAAACCCGAAATCTCCAAAGCCTGAACCTTACGTAAAAGACTGAAAACCCTAAACCCCAAATCCCTAAACCACTAAGCCCTAAACCCTAAATCCCTAAACCACTATACCCTAAACCCTTAGTCCCTAAACCACTAAGCCCTAAACCCTCAATCCGCAACACCCTTAAGTTCCCTCGCAGCATGCCAGCTTCGTGCAGGCGCAAGTAATCTGGACGGAAATTGTGAGACCACTCCTGGGCGGTTGTCAAAAATCCGTCTAAGGTCCTACTAGGGTTTAGGGATGTAGGGATTTAGGGTTTAGTGATTTAGGATTAAGGGATTTTAGGGTTGAGGGACTTTAGAGTTTAGGGATTTAGGGCTAGGGTTTGTGAATTAAGGTCTTTAGGATCTAGCGATTTAAGGTTTAGGGGAAATCATGGCCCCTGATACATATTTGCTGGGTCCTAACGATGGGCCCTTGATTGTGTTCAGAGGGTGTTACTGGGCCTATGATATGTACATGAGGACCCCAGGACTCAGGGCCCACGCGAGGAGCCGAGACCTCAGTTCCAACCTTAAATCATCTTAGGAGATTTAAGGTTTAAGAGTGCTTGGGTTTCGGGATTAAGGGCTTAGGGTTTTGTGTCTTACGGGCTTAGCGCTTAAGAGTTTCAAGATTCGAGCACAATGAAGCACAAACCCTGACAAAAAGAGCAAATCAAAAGCACCCAATCCTAAAGTAGTCTCAAAAAAGCCCACTGCTCAAGGAACTGTGGTTGTAACCCTAAACCTAAGCCCCTAAATAGCCTTGTGGCGTTCCATGTTGCTTGAATTGAAGGGAGGGCCTTCTACCCCAAATCTGAAACCCAACACCCCAACCCCTAAACCTCAAACTTCCTTATGGCGCTATGCCAGGCTTGTATAATCCCCGTATCCCTCGGAGGTACTCTAAAAGCAGCGTAAAGGAGTGTAGGGTTTAGGTATAAATCCTAAACCCTAAACCTAACCCCTAAGCAGCAGAGACGCGGAGACGCAGTGCGCTTCGTCAATGCAGGCGAGCGCAATGGGAGGGAGACCGCAGCCGTCGAAGGACCACATGGCCAGCCTATGGTTTAGAGTTTGTAGGGTAAGGGTCCTAAACCCTACGCCCTATACCCTAAACGGGGGGGCTAAAGTCTCATGGACACCCAGAGTAGTAGGGCGGAAAAATGCCGATTGTTCACTGATTCTGAGGTCTTTGTGCTCTCGTTTCACCAAGACCTCAGGCTGCAAAATTTATAGGATCCTATGGGTCCAAGGACCCAAAGAATAGGATCCCTTTAAAGGGGTTATAGGGGGATAAATAGGAACTATATCGGGGTATATAGGACTTAAATCATAGGGTTTTAGGGCCTAAATACCATTAATGTTACATTATTTGGGCCTTAAAGCCCCGAGGGGAATGATAAACTATCCGGGGCTTGAGGGCTCTGCGAAATTTCCTTCAACAGCGGTTCCTATTTGGGGGCTCCCATGAGAGACAAGGATGAAAAGTCGTTGAGACATACCGCTCAAAATGACCATCTGGATACAAGATGCTCATTCACGCTCCCCCTAAGCCCAAATCCCAACTCCTTAGCCCTGATCCCTAAACCCTAATCTCAGCCCATATGCATGTATTTGCTTCGTGTGGGCAAATCATTATCAGAGTGTTACTTTGAAGGCTTCCAAAACTGTTTGCGAATACGGTCCCTTATACCTCACTAAGGGAATCAACTCTGCCCAAGTGCCACCTAGTTATAGCTCACTACCCTGAAGTCAGGCCCGCTTCCGTTGCATTCCCCAGAATACTTGCAGCCAAGGGTGAGCTCGTTCCCAATTAATCTCTTCCAGTTATAATGACTGTATGTAGGCCACTAGGCCCGAAACCCTAAACCGTAA